AACGAATATGATACAACCTCTGTCGATAAGTAGCCAATAAATAAATCCTTTTCTTAAGCTCACTTTGTCCTTGGCTCCTTGAGTGAGCATAGCCTAGTTAGATCTTCATTTACTGTTGGTATGTTTTCTTTTAACGGAGTTCAGTTGCCTCATTTAAATGCGAATTTTTCTGAAATATCAAAGACGAGAATTTAAAACAAGTTCTTTGAAAAATTTTGTTTGAAGAACTTTAATTTTATGCAATAGCTCTTTCCTTCCAGGAATGGCATAAAACCCTAATGATTATTAATAAAATGTCATAATTGTGAAGCTTTGGGGTCTAGTGTTCGTGGGAATAGCTCACATCAGAGTTTAAAACAAATATAAATATATTGTTTTAAATGGCTTTCATTGGGAAATGAAACGATAATTTTAATAGTATAATATTTAATAAAATAGGTTGACGGATAATGGCCTAAATTAACCCAAATTTGAGGTTTCCCAAGTGTTCTTCCTATTACTTTGTCACACCATGCTCTGCATCATTACCTACCATTCGTTATTTCAAGCTTCAATATCTTATCTTGAGATTCCCTTAAAGCTAGATTGGTGTAAGCATTTAGAGAAGGGGATGATAACAGATGCACAGTTCTGAAACTGGGGTCTTACGAAGATTCCTACTGCATTCAAACTGTTAAGTCCCAGTGAATCTGCCTGGTATTAGATCATCTCTTGGTTGCATCTTTGTCTACCTCAGGAATTTCTTAAGTTAGGATCTAGACCCTTATGACCAACTGCATAATCTACACTTTAAAGGTTCAATAAGATGATAAGCGACGTCATCTCGAAAATTGCACCACCTGTAGTAACAATGAAGCGACTAGACTGCTTGCGCAAAGATATTACCAGGGCCTTTTGGGAGGATTATACTATCACCGCAATGGAAGAGGATCTTGATATTTTGGGTCCGGATCTCACATAATAGGAAAATAATATTGACCATTTCGAGTAATAGAGAGATTTGTCTTTGATTTTCATAGTTTATTTCATCACTTGACTTAGGTTTTGCTTTTTTATACCTTGAAGACACAGAGGAAAGAAGAAGGTGAAGTGGTAATTATCCTTTTATTCAAATGTCAATTTTGACTATTCTTTTCAATTCATTTTAAAGCGATCGTGGATGGGTTACCATTTCGGCGATTGTACTGGGTGAAATGCTTCACCCTCTCCCTCCTCCACCCACCCCCCGGCCCCGATCTTGGAGAACTATTTCCTAACGTAAGTCAAAGTGAGCTTCTCGGTGAATGAAAAATAATTGACATATGAATTCCATATGTTTGACCTCTGCTCTCATATTCCCTATTTTAAATCAGTTAGGAATCCTTTTATAACCCTATCTTGAGACCAAATATCGTTGCTGCTGCTGTCACAGGAAGTTGGGTGATTTTGACATTGAGAAGTAGTCATTTTCCTCGTCATGGTGTCCGAGTAACGTAGTGGTGGGAGGGAGGGAGGGTGTGCTTTAATCAATTTTACTGTCGCCTTGTATGCTCAACATTTGAAACAAAGCAACTGACTGTTTTACTCCCTCCCGTCTGCATAACTCAGCAGTAAAATAGTGGCTAACATATTGATTTTAAATAATATCCATATTTCCGATAAGATTACCGATTGATTTTGATTTAAGTAGACAACGCTAAAAATGAGCATTCTTAATCACATTCATGTTTTACACTGGAAACGTGCACTAAACCTATAAAACGCTTGACTTAATGGGGTGCACAACGTTGTCATCTCTGAACAAAGCCATCTCACGCGTATTCAGAGAGTCTGGAGCAAGTGAAGACGTGAGTGCGGGACACATAGCCAACAGCCAATCAATAGTTCTCTCAAGGTTTATCAAATCAGCCTATACACACACACACCCCCACCACACATAGGACACCTCCCAAATGAAAGCGTTCCATGTGAAACATCTGCTTCCTCTATGGCTTTGAGGTAGCAAAGGTAATTCCAGGAGTTCTTCCAGACGTAGTAGAATCTGCCATACAGATTTGTGAGTATAGTCAAGGTTTGTTAGTGCATCAATCTGCTAAAACTTTCTTAGCCAGTGAATCTGTTTAGGCCTTAAAATTTCACAGACAACAGAATATAAGTAGAAAGAGAGCGAGACGATGGCAGAATATTTATAATAGACGTACAAAAGGGAACGTTGCGTGTTTTAAATCAAAAATAGACAAGAGAAGATCGATAGACTGTTATCGAGTCTCGAGTGGACTTGCATAGAGGCAACAATATACAAATGAGTAANAAATTCTAAATTAATCTAAGGCAATTGTCAAGCACCCCAATCTTTTGCTAAATACACTTCTTTTAAGTGCTTTTCATCTAAAAGTTGGGGTGTGCGATAGACTTACCTCCACATGGTGCACCCTGGGCAACGTATACTCATACGGCAAAAAAGTCTATTAATCGGCAGTTGACTTCTGACTTCAAACTTCCATGACCCCATTACATTTCATATTCGAATAATTCCACAGTGTTCACCTCACCTTTTTTCTACCTTTGTATCTGTCTGTCTCGTTTACGTCTGTGAATCATTAATCTGTCCTCCTCTCGACTTTTTACCAGTTAGATGTTCATCTTCCTTTCTGTGAAGCCCGAAGTCAACTAAAGGACTAATGATACCTATCATACCGCCTGCCATTTGAAATAAATAAATACATCTAAAAGTTCAAGATTGGGAAAGATAATTGACACGAAAAATTGCAGGTGAGGAAGCGAATTTTCCAATAGGAAACAAATGAAAATGAAGTTGTGAAACATGTCAAGGCAAAAACGTCTTTTATGAGAACAGACATGCATTTCGAAGATCCCTTTATCGATATATAGACTCCTTTCTAATCATAATAGTTTTCTGATGGGTGTTAAGTGCAAAAGGTCAGGTAGTGCTGATTCTCTATCTTCTTGGAAATCTCCAATTGATAATAAAGAAGCCTACATATCTTGTTTTCACCACCTCTCCAAAACTGATCACATTTTATCATATGGAATGCAATACAAGTTCTAAATTTCGTCGGGGGGATTTGGGAATGTTGTTTACTCTCAGCAACTTCGACAATATATGCGTGGCCTTACTTCAAACCAATACAAGGCCCCACATCGGGTACTTCTGTATTCGATTTCTGTCATAAAATATTTAGAATAACATTTGGGATGGAAACGAAATTTAATTACGTAAACCTCGAATTCATGAAACGAAATTAAAGTAATTCATTTCAGATTCGTGAAAGAGAGTTTTCTAGCTATTGCATGGCAATTTTGATGAATAAATGCGAATTACCATATTATGATTAGCCTTTCATAAAGCTGCGAAATGCTAATTGTCATATTTGGAGTTTCTAATTAATAAGGACAAAGTCTGCGATGTCCCCAATTGCATTTTAGGAATAACCGAATTGCCATTTGTAGGAAATTGTTGCTGATTTCTACACTACCATAACATGGACTATGCTCATTATTCCCTATGGTAGATTCTCCTATGTATGGAAAGACTCATGTTAGCTAAGCTACCACAAAGCTATAGAGGAACAGACGTATGGCTTGGAAAACGTGTGTGTGTGTGTGCGTGTGTGTGTGTGTTTGTGTGTGTGTGTGTGTGTGTGTGGGCGGACAAGGAGCTTAGTCATTATTTAAATATGACGAGTTTGATAAATGAAGCGGTAACTATTGCTTGGCTATTGGTTGGCTGAACTCCGCACTCATGTCGTGTCTGCTCCAAAGTGAGGTTGTGCGACGCACCTTCAAACTTGTCTGGGTGCACATGAGATTACTTTATTCAGCGGTGACAGCGTTGCGGGCTCCATAAACTGCACATTTCTTGTCTGTATTGGCCGATAGGTTTTGATTCACTCCTCTCAATTCAGCCAAGTAGGTTGTAAGATCACTTCTCACCTACTAATCAATAAATTGTTCACTTATAAAAATAAGTTAAAAGTAAAAAGTTTTATTTAATAAAAATATTGTGCAATCAATTGTCACCTATTTCGTACAACAGGCTTTTGACTACCTTATTGTGATAATAAATACACCCGTTTTAACGATTCATGATTCCGTAAAGGGGTGGGCGATAGACTTACCTCCATGTGGTTCAACCTGGGCAAAGTGCACTCATACGGCAAAAAGGTCTATAAACCGACAGCTGACTTCTCACTTCAAACTACCATGACCCAATTTTGTGCCATATTCGACACCTTCCACAGCACTCATTACACCTTACCTATTCTCTGTATTTGTGTTTTTCTCTTTTACATCTGTGAATCATTCTTCTCTTCCCTCCACTCAACTTTTCTCACTTCGATGTTCCTCACTTCTGTGAAGTCCGAAGTCAGCTAAAAGGCTAACGACTGCCATCAAAACGCCACCCATTTGAAATAAATCAATGAACAATTCCCTCAATGGTATTTCATTGCCTCATTAATATTTTCCCTCTCAGTTGGACGGACAAATTTCGTCAACACAAAGTTTGTCATGAATTCATCAATACTATTTCGATTGGTGACGAAACTGCAAAAAATATTCAGTTCTTCATCTGATTGATGTTCAATCGTTACGTGAACTAACACTTAGAGTCTGTAACTTAGGTGGTTGGGTAAATTTTATAGATGGCTCAAAATGTCACCAATTTTTTCAGACTATCTCAAGTTGCGCTAGGGTGCTAGTTATTGGGTACAAAGTCATAGAAATGTAGTCTTCAAGACCCCAATATACTGTTCTTCAATGTCGGGGTTAGGGAGGGGGTGTTGTCTTTGTGTGATTATACACTTTCCAATGGACAATAAGTCCAAATGTNACAAATATTAAATTTTGATTTGTGTGAATTAAACACAGGAATAGAATTCACTGTGCAAATTTTTAAGTAAGTATTCATCAGTGAATTGCTGTCAATATATCACTCACTCACTCACTCACACTCGCATACACTCACTTACACGAAACAACCTCGATAAGATACATACTCCATGGCCGAAAGCACACTATGTGTAATTTGTTTGACTCCTCTGGTTGGAACGACTGGAAGTCCTCTAACATGCGGCCACGAGTTCCACATTGGCTGTCTGCAAATATGGAGTAAGAGTAATTCGATTTATGGCAGATGCAAATGTCCTCTGGCCACCTGTGGCCAAATATTCGACTGCATGCAGGTTAAAGCAGCCATTCCGGGTGAGAGGCCGAAATATTTGCCCGTTGAAGATAACTATGTCTGCAAGAACTGCTCTCGTTTACTCAACTCACCGGCGTTCTCGACCAATGGATGCGAGCATTACTTCTGTGCGAAGTGCATTTCAGAGCTCAGGAATAAGAGGCCCATTTGTCCTGTCGAAAAATCGGTATTCACTGATATTAAGGTATCCGCTTGTGTTGGAGCTCCAATAGTGGCCACGGTGAGTTGATTCCTCCTTTCTTAGCCTTGACTCCTGCCATTAATTTGAACTTGCACACTAATGAGGCTCAATGAATTTTTTAGATTACTTTGGCAAATACTCGTTCTCCACTAAGCGGTGACGACCTTGAAAATATCTTCAACCTCTTAAATTGATGTCGGCCTTGTGGTCTGGTGGAGTGAAATGGTTTTTATTGAATAAGAAATAAAATATTATCACTGGATTGGCATTTTAACATGAGTTCGATATTTGAATGGTAGCAAATCTGAGGTATATATATGTTAGACATTGTATACGTATGCGTCCTTTATCTGGGGGATTGCGTATCTCCATGTGGATGGATGAGTGTGTGTTGAAAGAGAATGGAATGACAATATTTTGGAAACGACCGGCTCCATAAACTCCAACTCAAAAGGCTCTGATCCCCCTTTTGAGGATAGTTTTCATATGTTGTTTATTTATTTACTTATTTATTTCAAATGGCAGGCGTTTTGATAGTTAGCGGACTTCGGGCCTCACCGAGGGGAGGAGAAACATCAAAGTGAGAAGAAGTCGAGAGAGGTGGGGGGGGGGGGGA